AATCAATAAAATGGTAGGCCCCTATCAATGATGTTTGATACGACTGGAAATTAATGTGTCTAAAATTGATTAAACAACATAGGGTAGTAATGAGAAATATCACATTTTGAATCCGTATCAATGATACATTTACTCAAAATGTTCCTTCCAATGGATCACCATTTAACTTGAAAACAAGGGAAGCAGCCGATCGAAGAAAAAAAGATTTTAAAAAACACGTTTCAATATGACAGTTATAGTGGTTCGGTCATGCATTTACATCCGTGCGTGTCATCCTTTCTTTGAAAGTAATGATTGTGCCAAATATGAACAAAGTCCATCTAGATTCGCGGCCAGTAGGTAGAGTGTTGACAGATAAAACGTAAAAAAAACCAGACCTATAAAAATATATTTTCTAAAACTATTTTAATTTTATATTATTTTCACATGTGTTAAGTGTTTTAGCGAATAGGTATATAAAGGGTCTTGTATATAGATTAAGACTATAGCGCATGTGCACTGTGCAGTTTTAAACAAGTCGATGATACGACAGTTCGGCTTTTTGTCGTGCCGTCGTATCATCGACTTATCGTGGCGCCAAGTCGATGATACGACGGCACGACAAAATCACACGATCTTACGACAAAATCACGCGATCTTACGACAGAACAAACATGGACCCTTTCAAAAATAATTGGAAAATGCCAAAGTGCCACACTCCTTATTGGATAATGCCTATCTATCCTACTAACTTAAAATGATTTTTTCCCAATATAAAATGCCCTTTGCTCCTATATAAATAATCATAACCCCAAAGCCATAACTACTTTGCATATTATGGCGTATCTAGTATTATAGGACTGACGGGGTTTCGATTCCCCGGTTGTACGTGACAGGGAGTAGAGTCGCCCGTCCAACCTCTTGGGTTTTCTCCGGGCCCTCCCACTACTAAAGACCTCCCATGTGTTAGTCAGGAAAAGCCCCCCCCCCCCCCTCTCTCTCTCATTTTAAACAATTTTAGGTTTTTTTTGGTCTATTAATTATTTGAAAATAGTATAGTTTTTACTTGGATCATAGTAATATATAAAATAGTAACAAAGAGTTTTGTTTACTGGGGTTTTGAAGAGTTTTTTATTATTGGGGTTTCAATTTGGGGTGTCATCTAATTGCTTATATTGCCTTACAATAAAATAAACGGGTGGGCCGCAGCTATATTTCCCATGCGATGAAAAAAAAATGAATGGAAATTATTTTTGTGAATGATAGTATTTTTAAATTATACAACCCGGGCCATTTGCAATATTATCATTATTCCAAATATATTACCATATGTCGCAATAGATCCCACAACATAGCTCTAATCAATGTCTGTTAATGTCGTGATTTTAAGTTAGGAGAGGGTGACAGCTGTCTTAAGTTAAAATTGATTTTAGTTAAAATTGTCTCTAAAATAGCTTTGTGAAACGCCACTATTTTAAGTTAAGATACAATTTTAACTTGCAATATTATCTTAGTGGATTTTATCTAAAATGCTTAAAATCGTTTTGTGAAACGCATCTATCTTAAAGGAGCTAAATCGCTAATATTTGGGATCTAGAAATTGACACAAATGGGTTGCAACGCATATAATAATGTAATATGCATGTATATAAACTGATTTACATTCAATCCTTTCTGTTTTTACTGTAATTTCTAATCAGTTATGTTCGGCGAAATACGCCAGAAGTCTCAATTGAAGACAATCTTTAGCGTCTGGTTATTCCAGTCTAAACCAATAGTGTTTATTGCGCATGCTCTCCAGATAAGAATATACCGTCACCATTTGACATGACTTGTGGAATATGTCTAGCCTCTTTCTTTGAGTCCCTTGTTTATTTGATCTTGAATATTCGATATCAGAAGCCCATCTTTTCCCTGTAAGATCACAAGACCAATGTTGATTTGAATTGACAAATAATTCGTGTTTTCAATGTCGAAGATTTTTGATGATATTGAGTTAGAGACTTAGCTGCTTTAAGTTAGGATGGAATTTTAGTTTAAGACGATTTTAAGGAGATTTAAGTTTTTGTAAAATAGGGTCCAGGTCTATATTTCGTTTCGTTTTTTATACTTTCGATGGCCTAAACTACATGAAGATCTGACCGGTTGTAGCGATAGGTCACGTAAGAGGTCATACGAGCGGCTTTCGATCCTATGACTTCAGACATTTGATTAACCAATCAGCATTGATGTTACCAACATCACACATTATGTATATCAAAAGGCCTTTTTATTTATAAAATATAAAAGTATCATTGTATCTTTTCATAATTTTATTAATTAATAACACAATATGAATAATTTTGACTATATACATGTATTTAAGTAAACTAATTGTAATTATGTTGTTTTGTTGAAGGGAGAGTGTGATATAGGCGTAGCCTGTTCCACAATTCTATTCTTGTTGAATAAAGTATAGTCTAAAAAACCCAACATGGATTGGTAACATATTGTGTTAATTTAATAAAAGCCTTGTAAATACTTGTAAACCTTCATGTTAAATTCAGTTTCATATTTTCAAATAATCAATAAGTATATATAGCTTAATATTTGCAAATACATTTAGTAAGCTGTCAGGACGTTTTTGTACCCAGGGACGCACAACATTACCAATTGTTGTTTTTGTGCAAATTTAGGCATGTCCCACATGTGAGCAAACATCTGTAATTTTAGACTCTTCTTCACACAATTTACAGAGCACTTTGCACACCCCCTTTCCTATATATACTAAACCGCAACTAAACAGCACCCCCCCCCCCAAAAAAAAAAAACAAAACAAACAAACCGTCAGTACGATTTCAAAATCAGAGAGGCACTTTAATCAAATCATTCTACAAAACAACTTAATAAATGGATCAAAGCAACTTTTTGTGAACAGTATGTGTGACATATATCACACAACAGTGTGTGATTAATTCATCACAATTCCAAGATATTACGAGAAGGTTTAGAGTCTGTACACAGTCTATACATCAGTATCTAGTGTGCCCACCGCGAGTGTCTGTACATGCTGTGTTTGTTCTCGGTACGACGTTATTAAGTCTCCTCTGAATTTCATCCCAAAGATGTTTAATCTGGTTTAAGTCCGGACTAAGGGATAACCAGTGCATAACGTTGACATCCGTTCTGCTGTAGAAATGCCCGTACCGTACCTCCCACATCATTTCGATTCCGGACCAGGGAGTTCGTTTTTTTTATTCAATCCGAACGACTATACGTTGTTCTTGCCAGTCCCTCCGTGCCTTCCCCACTGACAAGGGCGGACATCGCCAGAAAAATCCCGATGAACGTTGATGAAGTTAAAGAGCAAACTTCCTACTCACTGGGCCACCATAGCCCCCACTTCATTTCGATTGCGGACACAAGACCCCTTTTTTGTTATCCTGTCCGAACGACTATCCGTTGTCCTTTGCCAGACTCCCCGTCCTATACCACTGATAAGGGGGAACCACACATAAAAAAACCCCGATCGATGAACCTTGATGAAGTTAGAGAGCAAAGAGAGATTCGAGAAGACTTAAAATCCAGTACATAATGCAATGATATCTGTCTTAGAAGGGATTAAAATTGGTTAGGACTATTAAACTTTCTAGAATCCCAAACATTTCCGTCTATTTGGATCCATGTCCAAATATAAATGCCGAGGGACGCGTGGTAGCGAGAAGTCGAGATTGTGACGAAGCGAGAGTGTGAAGACGCGAGGGAGCGAGAAGTCGAGGATTGTCAAAGGCGAGAACGCGAGGGAGTGAGAAGTCGAGAGTGAGAGAGCGAGACCGCCAGGAATTTCAATGGCGAGAACGCGAGGGAGCGAGTACTCGAGGGACAAGGGAGCGAGAAGTCGAGTTGAAAATAATCTCGTGTTCTCTGGGCGATATCCTCGCCCTGTTTCCTCGCGTTCTCGAGAGATTATGAAATGGCAGCAACAAACCCGGTGTGGGGATCTTGCACGGACAGCGGCGTTACGACCTACACTTAATTCAAATTCCAACTGTCAAGGGTTATTTTACGTGAACGCCATTTGGTTTTCGTCCCATTAGAATGACTAAACACTGTTCTTTGTCAGCCCCCCCCCCCCGTTCCTGCAACACAACAAAACCTGAGAAACTTACCCTTTCCAAAACCGGGAGCGAACCCAAGACCTCCTGATTACCGAGTCAGTGACTTACTCACCGAGCTACCGCGACTACCGATCATTTGGAGGCTTGATCCGATATAAAGCTAAAATAATATCAAATATACTTTACTTTGCTTTTGTACGTAAAATATTTTTTTTTTTTCGACAGAAAAAATGTCGTCATCTCTTGTAACACTACAGATAAGAGAAGATCATCAGCATAGTGATAAGACCTTTATTAAGAACATGAAATAGAAATAATTCGGGAGGAGCTCTTTTCCAAGCCCGACTTAGTGCCAGTAAAATCCTGGTTATATAGAATATGGATAAGAGCAATCATCATATTTGATATTGTTTATCAGATTATGGTATCTGTAATTGCATTGCGTATATTCTTAAAAGTCATTATAAGGTCATAGTATGATGCACTGACCACTGCATTTCCTTTGAGTGTTGTACACAGACCATGCGTAGCTTGTAAAGGACATATTGAATTAATTACATGTTTAATTACAACACAGGCAGTCGTGACTTAAGAGAAGTGCAAACAGAGTTGAAAGGTCAATATTATATATATATATATATATATATATATATTATCAAAAAGCAGCTGGAGATCAATAAGTTCAATTTGATAAAAGTTATAGATCACTTTGTCACAGTCTGTCGTGTTATGCAAAGGGCGAGTTCCGCTCAATAATTATGAAATAAAAGAGCCAGCCTATATATAAAAAAAAAACATTTGAGAAAATATATTGAGTGACGCATCTGTATGCGAGAAAACTAAAATAATATGAAATCACGAGATCCCGATCCCTTATCCCGAACAGTGAAAAGTGGCCCGGAATCCTGAGAGAAAACACCGCAAAAAACCCCCAAAAACCCAAACTAGCTTTTGTTTCTATGATCGCATGGTTTCTGAAATACACACCCGGTGGCATTCCAAAACACATAATCTTTCAATCTTGGAATAGATCCAGTAACTGTTTTTTACAGTAACAAAGCATTTGAATCTTTTCACCTTTGACACAATCTGCCGTGTGGCCATACTTATTCAATCTACTGATTGCTTCGTAAGAATCAAATTTTTGAGACCAAGCGTCGTAAACTAAGGTGGTGTCGAACTCGCCCGATCTCGGATTTAATACAACAGAAATTTTAATTATGTGTTTGTTTGAACCAATAGAGAGAGCAGAATTCGTAACTGTGGTATGATTGACACTATTTGAAGCATTATCGGGATTTCTGCTTGTTGATTTAAATATTTTGAACACTTTTATTTCATCAAGTTCGAGTCTTGAGCACATTTTGTGATTCGCTAATCTATGATAAACGTCATCTACGAAAAATTGCGCACTTCTATCGCGAAATTTAGTATTTTTAGTTAGTTCATCTTCTTCTAATTTACAGACACACCAATGTGGAAGGATTCCCGCATTTTCACAAGTTCTGTCAGCTGGGATTTTTTCAAACAGACTTATCCCCCTTTGTTTTTTGGCGTCAATATTCCCGGTTGGTTTACCCGAAAAATATAAAATATCTTTTAAAGTTTCATAAATATCAAAGTTTGATGTCAATCTTCTTGTATTATGCGATAAAGAATTCACAATTTGCGGATATTTTTTATGAAACCACTTTGGAACTGCAACATACATCATGGGCATTCGTTCTTCCAATTTGCCTATAAATGTTTTTAAAAAATTTCCAAAACGAAAGCCGTGATCGCCAAAGAAAACCAACACAGTATTCTTAAACACTCCGCTATTTAGAGCCTTTTCTAGGATTTCAAAATAGTAGTCGTCGGCGGTATAGGCGTATTTAAGTGAATCTTCGTGAGTCAGGCGTACTGGAAATGAAAAGGCAAACGCTGGACGATTTCTAAAAGTTTTAAAAAAGTCTAAACCGTATTGAAGTATGATGCTTGTTTCTGAGCGATCGTTAACACAGTTGTGGAAATTATTCCATACGTCGGAATCGGCTTCTAATGCTAAAGTAAAGGGCCGTAAATAATAATCAGTTGGCAGTTTTTGAAAACCACCCACGGTTGACTGGAATGTTCCAAATTTTGGATAACCTTCCCCAAACAGCGTTGAATATCCAGCCTGAGAGTAATTCCTCCAAATTATATTAAGATGATCCATCGGTGTTTGTTTTCTTTCGCGGAGGGATTTGGTGATATCTAGTCTTTCAAATTCCTCTTCGGCGAAATGTCCCGTTAATATAGGTACAATATTGATAAAAGAATTGTCTGCCACTTTAGTGTAACCTTTAAAGTCAAATGCTCCGAGTTTCTTTAGTAAAAGATCTCTCGTTTTAGGCATATTTCGGATATGGTTGAGTCTCGACATAGATTCTATACCAATCATCCAGACATTCAGCAATTCACTTGGTCGGTTTCGCGCCTTGTGTTGGACTAATTTCTTATCCAATTCCTTAATTCGTTCCGTTTTGGGTATAATAAACGCGTGATAATTTCTATAAATAATATTTCCTTTCTTATTAAAACAAGTGACTTTGATTTGATCGCGCGTAACGTTTACATCAGCCGTGAATTTTATGGGTTCTGTAAACATAACTCTGTGTTCGGAATTAGACTTTCTTTCTATACCTCTGTATTCACAATGGGAAAATTCTGTGAAATCTTTCAGTTTCTCAGATATTCTTAGGGTAAGCCCTTCGTTACTCGTGTATGTGTCTTTCACATTGCAGCCATATTTCTTTCTATTTTTAAAGATGCTTCTAATGGAAGTACTGAATGGATTATAATCCGGTATTTTACACCCAGCTGTATTCACAAAGAAATCTGGAGACAAATTATGGACCCTTTCCTTCGGAATCGTTTTCAAGTAGTTCCAGTTAAATTTGTGAAATGCACACGAGAACAAAAAAAGGCAAAAGAACACTTTTACAATTTTCCGCTTCACATTTTTGATTCTTCCCATTTTTCAACAATAGTACGGTATCTGAAACTCAAAGATAAAGACACAGTCATCAGCAGTCCGCTCACTATGGTAGACTATCTAGAATGAAATAATGATGCTGTTTACAATTATAGCACCCTGCACGTTTCAAGTCAGTAGCTTGAAGCGTATATATGGTATTAGTGTCAGTGGCTTGTGGCACGAAGTAACAGTATATTGTCGCATACATAATATATTATGTCAACGCTTGGGCGACATAATATATTGTGTTGACGCTCCAAGCGTGTTAGCATATTAGACCTGTAGACTCAGTGGAATGTACGCGTCATCAGAGCGGATCCAGGGGTTGGACCATGGGGACCGGTCCACCCCCTTAACAATAGAAAGTGTCCCTGTAAATAAAAGAGGGCATCCTTATCAGAAAAAGGGCACCTGTGATGTCAGAATTTCAAAAAAGGGCACTTTTCTTTCGGATTAGGGTTAGGGTTAGGACACAGAAAAGAGAGAAAAAACAGAAAAGAAAAAAACAATCGAAACTTACCGATTCCATGATGGAAAATACCGCCAAAATATGTCTCCAAAGCATTCATTGGTTATCAAAGCGCCAATTAAATCTATCGTTGCAAGTTCATGCCTAGTCACCTCCATCCTAGTTCCAAGCGTTGACATAATATATTATATCGCCCAAGCGTTGACATAATATATTATGTATGCGACAATATACTGTTACTTCGTGCCACAGGCCACTGACACTAATACCATATATACGCTTCAAGCTACTGACTTGAAACGTATCGCCTGATTATATTATGGTGGCTGATTGAGGACATGTGAAATTGCGCCTTTTTCATATAACTCAACAATACGACATTTCGTCTTTCAAAAATAAAGTTTACTAGGTGAAAAATTCAAAAAAATTCTCGACATTTGTGGGTGATAAAATAGTTCACGTAGTTTAAGTAATCTGGAAATACATCATTAGAGAGAGAGAGAGGAGAGAGAGAGAGGGGGTTTAACGTCCACTCGACACAAACTATGCCATTTCGGGACTAATACTTGGTTCAACTTTTTTTCAACAATTCACTTGCGCGTAGGGGTCTTTAGCAGTGGGAGGACCTGGAGAAAACCCACGAGGCTGGACAGGCGACCCTACTCTTTGTCACTGTAACGGTAGCCGTACGATAGCCATAGTTTTCCGATTGCTAACTCAGTGTACTGACCGTTTGCTGGTCAATTGCATATTAGAGGGAGAATTAATTGGTGTCGTTTATTGTGTCTCTTTAATATTGTATATATGCCTTAAGCTTGTTTAATCTCATAGCTTTTATATTATTAGTTGGAATATTAAATATGTAGATATTTATTCAGAGAATCAAATTAAGATTATTGGTATTTAGTTAACTTTATTACGTATACCTAATAAGCTTCCCTCAAAATACGTGGTCTTTCGCAGGATCATCATGGCAGCCAAATGTGTCAAATCGGGAAAGGGGTGAAGTCATAAAGGTATTACGTTTTATAAACACATAATTTGTATATTTCTAATATGATAAGATGTTTGTTGTATGTCTAATTACAAGTAAGTGTTATTTTGTGCTATGCCAAGCAATGTTTTACTCATATTTAGGATTCGTCGAGACAGTGCTGTCAGCTGTTCTCGTCCTTTCAACAGGGTTACGTATTGTTTACGTTGTGTTCATTGTTAATGTTAGTCAAACAGTACTGTATGGTAATCAAATGTCTTTTTCTTATTTCAGTTTTCACGTAATGTTCAGTGAAACCTTCAGATTGTTCTTCAGATTATTATAATATTCACGTCAGTATGTAATCAGCATCGTCAGTAATATTTAGCGTGTCTTCAGTGTAATATTCAGCACGTAGATTGTATAATCAGAATATATAGATGAATTCATCCGCATTCGAATTCTCTAATTAGGCTATAGTAGGCCCATGCGTATGCGGACTGATTAGGCTATTCTAGGCCCATGCCAAACTTAATGTAAGCTGATGTGTGAACTGTTTATATATATTTGTAGTAAATTGTACTGGTTAGCTGTTAATATATATAAAGTTTATTCCATGTAAGAACTAGTTGTTTATATTTCGCTGAATGTTTCAGTATAGAATTAGAAAGCATTGACTTCCTAGTATTCGTCCGCAGAGCATCATTCCTCTGTCAATATTGTTTGGCTGCTTCCGAGATAGAGGTATGCTGTTTAGTCACGTTCACGCTCCAACTACTAAACACCCCCATAAACGCGAGCGCTTCAGATCATTAAAGTACAGTGGGGGAGGGGTCAAGTGACATTAAATGTGCTTTAGATCTTGATACAATTAAGGCAGCTGTCCTTGTCAGGCCCTCCGTTCTGCATCACTGACAAGAGGAAACCACGCCGGAAAATCGAGATGAACTTTCTCGGCCAATGCAGGGATCGAACACTCGACCTCCAGGCTAGCGAGCCAGCGCCTTACCCACTTAGCCACGTGATCCCCCCCCCCCATCAAACCTGAAGAGATGAAATGAAATGAAATGGGGTTTAACGCCCTACTGTTATGCGCCTAACGTGGGCTAATGGAAGACGGGCATACGCCATACAGTGTGCTATGAGGGAAATTTTGCCCGGGAAGCGGCGCTACGGCCTACTCTTTATATCGAATTCCAACTGCCAAAAGATCTTTTTTGTACACGCCAATGTGTACACGGGCCCTCTGTTTTTCGTCCCATCCGAACGACGAGACAGCTGTCCTTGTCAGGCCCCCCGTTCTGCATCACTGACAAGGGGAAACCACGCCGGAAACCTGAAAACATAAATTGAAAAAAGAAATGGAACTAGAAAATAAATTCTAACATTCCAGCTGTAGTGTAACTGTAACACCTGACATCACTCAAATCAACTGATTTACCCGAGGTGCTGCAGTTTCTTGATACCATCCAGTGGCTTGAAGGATGGTGAGAGGTAGACTACTCCTTGTCACGTACAACCGGGGATGTTGAATAGAATCCGGGCCCTAATCATAAAAGTAATTATACTAAGTAGCAAAAGAAACATCGGGTTGGTATGTTACTCTGAATAGACGCATTGCACAAAACTTGCCAAATGTTTTTATTGTATATTTGTGACCACATCTCCAACTTTACCTGAGCAATAAGGGTCCTTTCCAAACACAGAATTAAACCTAGGAAATGTTTTCAAAAACGCAACCTGACTTCGGAGATGCTAATGTGTTCTCCATGATTTTCATGTAACCCATGCTGCACGTGCTGTTCACTGGGAGCAGCCCTATAAAATGCACCCCCATACCTGGTTGAATCATTCACACTACAACGCCAGCAGCATGCCACGACAGCTTAGAGGAACCAGGCGTTGGAAGATTCGACGCTGGCCACACTGACCAGGCCGTTGCCAATCACTTCCAGGTCAATGTTCGGACTATCTACAGGCTTCAGCAACGCTTTCGGGCCACCAACACCACGGATGATTGCCCCCGAACTGGTAGACCAAGGGTTACCACAAGGCGACAAGATCTCCATGTGCGACAGCACGTACAGAATCCCTTCACACAGGCATCTGAAAAAGCACGTCAGTGCAGGGAACACACGGAAGACCCATCAGTACCGATACAGCAGAACGGTGTCAACGTTATGCACTGGCCAGCCCTTTCAACACCTTTAGGATGAAATTCAGAGTAGACTTAATAACGTCGTACCGATACCAAACACAGCCGATGGATTGCGCCAGGCTTTTCTGAGAGTGTGTATCCAGGTGCCAATGGCGTTCATCAATCGTCTGGTCCACTCCATGTACAGACGCTGCGCTGCTGTTATTAACACTCGCGGTGGACACACCAGATACTGATATATAGACTGTGTACAGAGTCTAAACCGTCTCGTAATGTGTTGGAATTGTGATGAAATAATCACTAATGTGTCAACATAGGCCACTGTTCACAAAACATTGCTTTGATCGATTTAGTAAGTCGTTTTCTAGAATGATTGATAAAAGTGCCTCTCTGATTTTGAAATCGTACTGACGCGTTGTTTTGGCTGTTTAGTATATTTATCTACAATGCATCTGAATGTAAGGAGTATCAGGGGTTAAACTGACTTGATCTCTTCAAAATTAGATAGTTATGATATTCTCTCAATATCTGAAACTTGGTTGGTTTGGTATTGGAGTGGCTTCAAAGTTATTTAACTGATAGAACAAAGCGTGTTCTCGTCGGAAAAGCCTCCTCTGGTACCTCAGTTGTCACTGCTGGTGTTCCGCAGGGCTCAGTTCTTTGCTCTTTCTGATCTTCATTAACGACATTGTCGAAAAATTACAGTCAAATATAAAAGTATTCGCGGATGATAGATCGTTATATATGTTGATTAAAGATCATACAAAAGCTGTCCAAATTTTAAATTCAGATATTGAAAGAATACACACATGGGCTAAAACACAGCTAGTTTCCTTTAATCCTGGTAAAACTGAAACATTAACAATATCAACCATATCTAAGCACGATCCGATTCCTCTTTGCATGAGCACGGTTAAAGTAAATGTAGTATCTCTTCACGAGCATTTGGGGCTTATTTTTCAAAATATTCTTAAATGAAACATACACATTTAAAATCTTTGTAATACAGTTTCAAAATTTATCAACTGCTTAAGATCACTTAGTACCGACTAGGCAGGAAGTCACTCAAAGCAATATATAGTTCCTATATTTGACATAATTCTGATGGGTGCACAGAATATTTAGCTAACTAGTTAGAACAATTACAATTAGATGCTTTACGCACAATATGTGGCGCCGTGAAGCTAACTAGCCATGATTTACTATATAAAGAAGTCGGTATATTACCTCTAAAACAACGTCGTGAAAGACACAAGTTGATTTTTCTATATAAAATAATAAACCACTTAACCCCTGATTATATACCTTTATGATAATTTAAAAAAACTCAAAAGAACAAAGTATTTTTGCAAAACTAACCTATTTTATAACTCTTACTTTCCTTCAACTACGCGACTTTGGAATAGTCTAGATCTTTCTATACGTAATTCAGAAGAAACGTTATTCACATTTAAACAAAATCTCTCAAAACATGATCACTTGGTACCTTCTTACTACAATATTGGTAAAAGAAAAGTTCAAATCATCCATTCACGATTTCATGTATCAAACAGTGATCTTAATGGACATGCATATTTAAGACACATAACGGACTCTCCAACCTGCCGATGTGGACACAATTTTAAACATCCTTATCACTTTCTGCTGATATGCTTACATTTAGATGCACGAAACACACCTATTAAAACATTACCAACGGAATACATCAACACAAAATTTCTATAGTATGGCTCTACGGACATTTCACTTGAACAAAATCAATTAATATTTTCTGAGATACAAATTTTTGTAGAATTAAGCAAAAGATTTTAACTACTGTAATCGTCTATTATTATTACCACCAGATTCTGTTTACATATTTGTTCACTTTCAGGCCTCGAGTAAACTGATTATATCACTGGCTTTGCCTGGTTACCTAATTGGTGGATCAAACTGTCTGATTATATTTTAAATGAGATGATTGTCTTCATTATTAGCTTTGATTAGGCTTTATCTTGGCATGGCTTCACCAAGCTGCATTTTTAATATTTACAGCTGAATATTTACAGTTTCACCCTCGGTCAGTAATATCAACCCAAGCTAAATAAATCATCCATAAGATTTATTTCTGCAGTTAGGGCGGATCAGAAAAAATTCTTGTATGTAATTATTAATTTTAATTAGACATATTGGCTAAAATTTTATATGAATTCTGGAAAACCTTATTTATTTACTTGCATGTTGGTTTTACAGGTATTTTGAAAGCAGTCTATTTGTGGGGGGGGGGGGGTTGTACGTGGCAGGGAGTAGGGTCGCCTGTCCAGCCTCGTGGGTTTTCTCCGGGTCCTCCGGTTTCCTCCCACTGCTAAAGACCCCTACGCGCAAGCGAATTATGTAAATAAAATTAAACCATATGTTAGTCCCGAAATGACCTAGTTGTGTCGAGTGGACGTTAAACCCCATTTCTCTCTCTCTCTCTCGCAGTCTATTTGAGATTAGTTAAAACTGGAACGGATCTACCGTTTTTGTGTAGGACATGCAAGGTGGAACCGTTAGTTTCATTACCCGGTATTGGCAACCACCACTACCTACTTTACCAACTCTGCCAGAAGCTACTAATGCAACACAACCTTCAAAATCAACAGCACCATCTACATCAAGGACAATAAGATCTAGATGGAAGTTGCAATTACATGTAACATGTCATGAAACCACCCCTCAATAATCCACCCCCACTGAGTCCAAAAATGGCAAAAGACAAAAAGGGAAAACTGGCACAACATGGGAGTGAGTTGAAAGACTCAGAAAGGAAGGAACAGAGGGACTCAAAGTAAGAACAAACTTTATTTTAATATAGTAGTCTTAATTAGTTAATGTATTTACATAGAAACAAAAACAGCAAATAGAAGAATATTTACAAAGAACAATTTTTTAATAATTATAGAAATATTTACTTAAAAAAATTTTGCAAACTCACGATGGATTATTTTTTACACTCTTTCTTGTATTTATATGAGCTCAGGAGGAGCAGCCATTTTCGAAAAATTAATTGTATAAAAAATAAGCTGATATATTTACATAGAAATACAAAATGATCATT